AAACTTATAATTTAAAGATTTTTTTTTTGCATGTTGCCCTTGAAGATGCATGAAAGGAATCCTCTTCCAACTGTACAGTATTATTAAAGATTTGATTTGCCACGTGTTCCCTATGGCATTGCCAAGCTGTCCAAGCATTTTTCTGACAATAACTTGGCAATTAGACCTAAAAATGGCAAGACTTGATTAACAAGATTGCATATGGGATTCACATCTACAGTATGTATGGGTTCTCCAGATTTCAAACGGTATTTATCAAACCCAGACAGATTTGTTCATCACTAACTGCTGTATGAATAAATGCTTTATGTCTAGTATTCTTTATCATTTTCATACGTTTTGTCCCACAGGACTGGAAGCCCTATTCCTTCATCTTGCTTCATAGCAGCACTGAACAGGCCAGACCATGTTGGGGAAGTTATGTTATAACATCATTTAAAGTATCCTATTCCAGTGCTGAGGCCTAGGAGGGTGGTTTTTGACTTTTAGTATAAAAGTACAGTGATCATTGTGTTTGAGGATTGAAGTTTAGTGGAAGCAGCCATTCACTGACTAATATGTCCAATATTTCTTCCAAATGGCTATTTAGTGAACGTTTCTTCACTCAGAACCAATATGCAGCACACAACTCAGAGTGTGGCTGCTCCCATTAAGCTTAGTCACAATTATGTTGTCTTGGTTTTAAAGTGTATCTCTGGGCAAACCCTTCTTTATAGTGTTGAACCAACATATGAACAAAATGTAAGGATTTGAAGGGTGCCAAGCATATTCACCAGATAATAAATATCCCAAAACTATTTTATTATATATATTTAAAATTAATATTTATTAACATTACTTCATGTCAGGGCAGGAGCTGAGGAACGGACAGCCAGGCCTAACAATGTAACGCACTGGCTGACGACAACCACCACCCACAGACCGAAGTCCCTCAGGGCGCGGAGTCTAAGTCCCAGGCTGCCCTTCACCAGGGCCCCTGATGGTGGGGATGGACTTGACGCAGCCAGGAACCAGGTCGCGGCCCCCGAGACACCTCAGCTGCGGTAATGGCCGCCGCCAATGGCGTGTAGCTGGTGGAAGAGACAAAAGAGTAGTCAGACAAGCCGGGGTCAACAACAACAGGACAAAACAGTACAGTACAGCAGACGAGAATCACAGGTCACGAGCCGGGTTCAGCAACAGAGGGTCAGATCAAAGGAGAATACAAAGAATAGTCAAGTCACAAGCCGAATCAGATACCAGGAGAGTCACGAGAGTCAGAACAGAGTAATAGCAACACAAAGACACAAGACACAAGTGCAAAGAGCATGTGCGGGCCACAGGCTTATATGTCATCAGCCACACCCCTCTGGGGGATGGACCACAGAAACCTGAAGGCATAAAAGGATTCCCATAATGCACAGCAGAATCCAAGATGGACGCCAGCACATGGAGTAACATAACCTCAGGGAAAAGGTAGGACCTTGACACTTCATAAACATTAGTGAGGGGGCGACATCTCCAACCCTGTGTACGCTCCAACACAGAGCTTACACAGGCTTAGGACCAGGGGCGGACTGACAACTCATGGGGCCCCCGGGTAATAGGAGATCATGGGGCCCCTGTGTCCTTGCCCAAACTCAAAAAAGCCTACGAAAAAGGTACCAGGGGCATCTCATGGGGCCACCTACTGACCCCGGGCCCTCGGGCAGTGCCCGAGTTTACAAATGGTCAGTCCAACCCTGCTTAGGACTATAGAGAACTGAAGTAGCAACTTTGTGCAGGAAATGTGAGAATACATGTGTCAAGGGGTTAAGGAAAGGGTAAAATGACAGACTCTATTTAACCTGTTGCCACCCCGCATAACAAATATGTGCAGCAACAAAAGAGTGGGCTTTGACGACTACACGCCGCACATATATGTCACTGTGCGTTTTACGTTTCTGTGCTGACAGCACACTCACTGTGTGCCCCCAGCACAGGTATTAAACTGTCCAAGACAGCTCCCGGTCCCCACTAATGATCCGTAGCTGGTGAGAGTGGCTCCTAAACTGTGACAGCCAATCACAGTAGTCACATGATTGCTGATCCTTTCCTCCCCCTGGGCATTCAGAACCTTTTAAGGGGCAGGTGGGAATGGGTCATTGAGAAAGTAGTATAAGAATTGAGATCCTTTTGCCTAGTATTTATTTATTACAGATACTTATATAGCACCATCAATCTACACAGCTCTTTACACATATACTGTATTGTACATTCACATCAGTCCCTGCCCTTAAGGAGCTTACAATCCAAGAGCAATCTATACATAGGCGTACTAAGGCAAATTTAGACAGGAGCCAGTTAACCTACCAGCATGTTTTTTTGGAGTGTGGGAGAAAAGCGGAGTACCTGCACAAGAAAAGGGAGAACATGCAAACTCCAGGCAGGTAGTGACTTGGTTGGGATTCAAACTGATGACCCTAATGTTGCTAGGTAGAAGTGCTAACCACTTAGCCATTGTGCTGCCTGCCTAGTATCATGATTGCAGTGAAAGATGAATTCTGGTTGTGTGCATTCCTACGCTTTTAACACATCCCTTTTATACTCTGATCATCCATAAATATGACCGCATTAAATACTCTATATAAAATACTTGCATAGCATTCTGTCAAAAATAAACATTTATGTTCTACCGTTTGAAGCAAGCCTTTATAGTAAATATTTTAGTTTCAGAAGAAATGCCATAAAAATGCTTGAAATGAGCTTGTATATTTTACAGTCTCCACTCCACACTCCATTGACTGCTCTCACCTTGCTAGTCTTATCTGTAACAACACTACGCCCCCCTCTTCCTACAAAACCTTATTAGGAGACATATCCGTCTTTATCACAGACACCAAAGCTGTTCTAGTATTTACGCCTCTACTGAATGTACAAGATGTTACAGTCTTTTTTTTCTGGTATTGTGACACAAAATAAACTCAGTGATTCAAAAGAAAATGTTTAGACCAAAAACAGACATGTAACAAATAAATATACAGCCAATAGGAACACACACTTAGACTTTCTGCTCACTTTTTTGTTTTTAATTCAAGTCACAGTTATTTAAAGTGATATTAAAGGCATTTTTTTAAAATAATAACATGTCATACTTACCTGCTCTGTGCAGTGGTTTTGCACAGAGCAGCCCTGATCCTCCTCTTCCCAGGTCCCCTGCCAGCGCTCCTGGCCCCTCCCTCCTGCCAAACGCCCCCGTTGCAAGCAGCTTGCTATGGGGGCACCCAAGCAGGCTCGCTCCTGAGTTGCTGCTCTGCATGTCTATTCACACACAGAGCCGTGGCTCTGCCCAGACCCCACTCTCTCTCTCATCATTGGCTCACTGGCTGTGATTGACAGTAGCCTCCCGCTGCTCTCTCAGCCAATGAGGAGGTAGAGTCCCCGGAGAGCTGAGGCTCTTGTGTATATCACTGGATTGCGATGGGTCTCGGGTAAGTATTAGGGACATAGAAGATTTTTTCTATTTTCTTAATTCTGTGCATAAAGGAAAAAAGCCTTTACAACCACTTTAAAGGAATCTTCAGAAATGTAGTTGAGTAGGAAAGAGTTATAACCTGTGTTAGGCTTTTGTTGTTGGTGTAGCACCATAAGGAACATTTCTATTCATTTCCTCTCCTTCTAACACACTTTGTCAGGGTGTGACATTATGTCACAGGGACAGAAGGCAAAGTAGTGACAAAAAAAATCTGAAAAAGGTTCTAAATATTTCCATCTCTATCCCAAAAACAAATGTCTGGATTAGAGTTAGGCTTTAATCTCTTGATGGTGTAATGCATTTCTGCAGGAGTAAGAAGAGTGGGCTTTGACACCCAGTCAGTGTAAATATGAGTCCACAGCAGACTGAGGTTGTGTGCTGGGAGTGGGCTCATTGTGCGCTCCCTGCACACTGACTCAGCTGTGGCCAACAGGTCTTGGTCACAGCTTCTGATCAGGGCCAGTGAGACAAGCTCCTAATCAGGTGACTGCTGTAGGAGCCAATCATAGTTTCCACAAAATACAGAATACAGGCATTAAAGCCCACTTAAAGGGCCATCGGGAGGTGGTGTTAAAGGGCGCCGATATTTTCACAGCTAAAGTTTACGCAACAGCAACACTTTCTTTTTGAGTAAAGTGGGGCATACTTGTACCCACTGCTAATGTTTTATTAATGTCTGTGTCCCTGCTTCGGAAATTCACCCCTCTGTCATCCTGCTGAAAATTTTCAACAAAACAAAGTAAGGGGAAATCCTAAATTTTACAGTTGCCACAAGACTTAGAGGTGAGTTGAAATCGTCCATTGAGGACAAATGTTTTGAAAACAGCTTATCTAAGAGGGAAACTCCTCTAACTTTGGAGAAAAATTTTCTCACTTCCTATTGAGTCTTCTAGACAGGAAGTGAAGAGAAATCTCCCCAAAAAACAGCAAGATATAACCTCAAAGGGGTTTAACCCTTCCCTGCTTTGTCCAAAATGTTTTGGCTATTGTGAGAACTAGCATCAAGGGTAGAGCTTTAACCACTTGTCTACAGGGCACTTTTACCCCCTTCCTGCCCAGGCCAATTTCCAGCTTTCAGCGCTGTCACACTTTGAATGACAATTGCGCGGTCATGCAACACTGTACCCATATGAAATTTTTATCATTTTTTTGTGACATTTAGAGCTTTATTTTTGGTGCTATTTAATCACCTCTGGGTTTTTTATTTTTTCTTAAACAAACCAAAAACCGCTGAAAATTTTGAGAAAAAAAAAAAACGTTTTTTCCTAGTTTTTGTTATAAAATTTTGGAAATAAGTGAATTTTCTCCTTCACTGATGTGCACTAATGAGGCTGTAGTGATGGGCACTGATGATAGCTGACACTGATAGACACTGATAGGTGGCACTGATGAGGAGGCACTTGTAGGTGGCACTGATGGGCATTGACAGGCATCACTGATGGTCACTGAAAGGCAGCACTCATATATGTCACTGATAGGCGGCACTAACTGGCACTGTTAGGTGGCACTGATAGGCAGCACTGACGGGCACTGATAGGTGGCACTGATGCACACTGATAGACGGCACTGACTGGCACTGATAGGCGGCACTGACTGGCATTGATAGGTGGCACTGATGGGTGACACTGAAAGGCAGCTCAGATGGGCACTGATATGTGGTATTGATGTGCACTGAAATGTGGCACTGATGGGCACTGGCAGGTGGCATGGATGAGCACTGACAGCTGGCACTGATGGACACTGATAGGTGGCACTGCTGGGGCTACACAGATCATCAGGGCACACTGATCATCAGTGCTCTGATGATCAGTGTACATGTCCCCTCCGAAGAATGCCGATTACGGCTCTCCTCTCCTCTCGAACTCTCAGTGTGACAGCTCGTGAGGAGAGAAATGCCGATAACCGGCATTTCCCTGTTTACATGTAATCAGCTGTGATTGGACACAGCTGATCACTTGACCGAGCCGACATCTTTGGCTCTTTCCGTTGATCGGTGATGCGCTCCCGGAGCCGCGCATGCACGGTTAGAATGGGACGACGTCATATCACGTCCTCCCAGAACGAGAGAGAACCACCTTGCGCCCGTCATTGTACTATATGGCGGGCGGCAGGTGGTTAAAGTACACTGCAACTCACTTTCTTCTTTTTTAAGGGCCGTTCTTGCTCAATTTTATTTAAAAGAAAGTTCCATAAACCCCTCACAGGGGTTTTCAGCATTTCTCTCTTTCAAACACATAGACATTTAGTCTCCTGGCTTATACATACAATCCTGCCGCTCTGGCCTTCCACTTCAGGCTCACATCTGTCTCCTGCAGACTCTTTTCTACACAGCTAGCAACCCCTTGCTGCTTTGGCTCCCACCTCTCCTCGGTTGAGCTCTCCTGACTTCTAGGCAACGACCTCCTGTCTGCCGGGGTGGATCCCAGAACCCTAGTCAGGTTATTACTTAAAGCCCTGCACACACCTGTACAATTAGTGTGCTGGGGGTTCTCAAAACATGGACCTAGGATTGGAGATTTCATCCCTCCCAAATCACTTTAAAATGTCCAGGCTCCAGATCCCAAAACGGACTTTATGAACAAATAAGGAAAGTGAAAAGCCAGTTTCCTCTGCATTAAGCAAACCCCCTGGAGCCCCTCAACCTGTTTAGTTGAGAATCCTGGGGATATAAGCTTGATTCACGTTGTGGGAGTGCCCAGAACTGCCACACTATACATACACACTCTCTATTACACAGATAAATTATAGTGATGGAAAGTGATTATTGCCATCAATCAAAGGCTACCAAAGTGAAAGATGAAAATGAGCAGGAACTGTTTTCCTATAATCGTTTTATTCATTCACCAGGCAAAAGGGCACAGTATATTAATATAATTAAAAATCACGGACATTTGATGGGTTTATGTTGGTAATCAGTGATATCCCGTCTATAGACTGTTAAATCCTTGCAGAATAACTGACATATGTACAAAATAATTGTGTTGAGGCAGAAAAGGAAATTTGCTGGCCAAGACACACTGAGATGTGGTTTCGAGGAAAATCATTGTTGGATGTCGATAGCTATTCCACAGTAGTCAGCTTCAAGTAATGCCAGCACCATAATACTGTATGTCTAGTAAGTCTATATTATATAACTATATACGTACAAATAGTCAGGAAATACTTTTGTTTCTGGAAAGATGGAATAAGGTCAAATTCTTTATATTCCAATTTTACAGTCAGAGTTCTAATACCACACAGTTGTTATGCTGTAGCTACATTGGGAAACAAGGTTTTGGAAATGTTATGTAGGTTAAATGTGTTAAAGTAATTGAAAGGCTATACTGTGGCCCTCCCTGCCTTCATTATTGTTAACATGAGTGATTTTGCCTTAATACTCGCATGCCACTGGCAAGTTTGGTTTGGTATAGCCTGTGGAATTATGATGTATGTTCATGTTTCTTCTCCACAGTCTACACCTGTTTTGAAAAAAATATATCTCCCATTTAAAATCTCTTCTTGTGGCACTTGGATTACTGATGTGTGCTTAGTGGCATACTACTATTAGGTGTTCTTGGTTAAATTGCTTTTATTACTTGCAGTGGGTTATTGTAGCTTCTACACTGAGGTGGTTGGACATGGGCTTCTGCCCCTCACCCATGACCTCTCCTCTGTAGACATCGTACCTTTATTCTAGAAATTACTTTTCAGTATTCAGACATGCAGTCATACTGTTACACAGAGTATGACCAGAAGAGAGGATCTGCCATTTGCAATAAAACTATTTTTGCCAAAGTTGATATTTTTATTACCTTCCTATAACTCCCTTTCCAGTAGCTCTAAAATGTAGTGAGGATTGGCCCTACACTTACAGAATAAAGCATGGAAATGGCCTTATTAGTGTGCTGCTGATCCTTAGAACCCATTCACTTGCGTGGCTACCGGCAAGAATCACAGATTCAGGCAGGGAATCCAATGCCCACTGTGTGTGAACAGCCCCTGGCAGCAGCAGCAAGATCAGATGTGTGCCCCATACAAATCAATTGCTGTTTACATGTAAACGCTTGTAACAAATTTCCTTTAGTTATACTTTAACTCTTTTCTTTGCAGTTAAAGAATATGTAAAATATATATATTCATTGACTTAAACCCAAAAAACCCAAAAAGATTTTTTTTTTGAGGTATTTGAAGAGCACCTGTGATTGATTTGCATCTTCTTCAGTGGAGTAGGAAGCGTCTTCCTATCAAGAAATTGATCTTTGTTTGGACACATTATTTGGACACTTTGCATATTGGGACTTTATTTATTTTTGTTCTTTTATATATATTTGATATTTTTTTATTTTTTGGGTAATCTCTTTGGGTTTTGATCTTTTCACTATAATTGTGGGTTTTTGGGTTTAAGTCAATGAATATATATATTTTATTAGTACTTCAGGGGAAGGATATTGATATGACTTTAAGGGATTCTTGAGGATTTTATATATATATGTGTGCTGATTTATATTTATTCTAAAGAATATGTAAACCCAACATTTCATATTCCTGATGTGTCTGCTGTACCATGTACTTGTATGAAAAAGTATCCTGTTCTCTTTGTATCAGACTTGACCTGACATGCTCTCTAACCCCACCCCAAACAAACAAACACACACACACACCTACCTTTCATTGGGACCAGGGGTGGACTGACAACTCATGGGGCCCCCGGGCAATAGGGGATCATGGGGCCCCTGTGTCCTTGCCCACAATCAAACCACACCCAAAAAAGCCTATCAAAAGGTACTAGGGGCATCTCATGGGGCCCCCTACTGACCCAGGGCCCTCGGGTAGTGCCCGAGTTCCCAACTGGTCAGTCCGGCCCTGATTGGGACTATTGGTGTACTGCTGTTTCCCTTCCCCTAGCTCTTATGCAGCTGAGAACAGCAGGAATGTGACCATTTATAAAAAAGGGAAACAGTATTTGTTATGTTTTTTATATCTATATACAAATGTTTTTCCTTTAATTTCTGTTTTAAACTGAATGGGTTGTTTTACAAGGTGAGAGTTCACAATCACTTTAAGCTTTTCAAAAACTTTTTTTAAACTGGGGACAGGATCACTTTATTAATATTATAGTTGCATAAAATATCATTTTAATACATAGTATATTATTAACAGATTTTCTTTTTAGAAAGCAATTACTATATGAGCCATTTAGCTCTACCCACAATTGACACTGATATTGTGTCTCTGTGAATGACATCTGTATTGTTTCTGAAATATGAATGGATGATTGGGGAAAAATATGGGGGAAGTTTTTGTGTACCTAGAAAATAATTTCCTTTTTCCTTGTTGCATTCCAGAATTTATCATTTTAAGATTCAGCTTGGCAAGTCTGAACAGTTATAGCTTCTGAAATGACCAGTTCTAGTAATATAATGTATTTTCTTATCTGCGGGAAAGTCCCTGTAATGTAGATAATATAACAGCACACATATGCTTTCAGCTAGGGCTGTCAGGCTGAGATCTGAGACGAATGCCCCAGCTGAATGGTATCAGAGAGAAAGTCAGCCATTGGAAGATTTTCTGATAATGGTCACATTCTTCACATTTTATTGCAAGCCAGAAGATAATCAGGTGGAACAAAATGTGCAGTGTTGTTTAACTATGGCCACCTTGAAGCAGACAAATATGACATTGTAGGTGTATAATATGCTACAGGCACTCATGTAAAAAGTAAATGAAATGAGTTAGAGAATGACCTGCATAACATGGTTCCTACTGGCATTGCCAAAAGATTACTCATGCACCCTTGCCGGCATACAAGTCATGTGATCCATGATGTCAGCAATCTCCTTCCTTCCTAGGTCTTTCTGCTCAAAGTTTTGTCTATGTAGCATGAGATCACTATGCAAGGTGTTAAGTCAAGTGAGGTTAGAAAAAACCTATTTTTTACCCCCCCCCCCCCCCCCAATCCTAGGCCAGACATCTTGTTCCCTCGCCATCTCCCTTCCAACCTCAAAGAAGTGTTTTGGAACACTGTCCTCCGCTTTCCTCAACACATACACAGCACATACCTGTATTGAAATCTAAGTTACCTAAGTAATTTTCATTAAATATATAAGAAATAATGTTTAAATATTAAAACCAAATGAACACAGCCACAGTCAGAAACTTGCACAGTGATACAGTCAGTATGTTCTGACAAAACCAGAAACATGCCCATAGAGACACACAATCAGTACCATACTGACACAGCCAGAAACAACTTTCCACAGAGACACAATCAGTATGTGCTGACACAATCAGTATGTGCTGACACAACTAGAAATTTGTCCACTGAGACACAACCAGTACCGTACTGAAACAGCCAGAAACACATCCACATAGACACAATCAGTTCTGTACTGACAAAGTCAGAAACATGTCCACAGAGACACAATTAGTACCCTATGGGCACAACCAGATACACATCCAAAGAGACCCAATCAGTATGTACTGACACAACCAGAAGCATGTCCACAGAGATGATATCTGAATTTACTGACACAACCAGCAAAACATCCACTGCGACACAACCAGTACCGTACTGACACAGCCAGAAACACGTCCACAGAGACACAATCAGTATGTGCTGATACAACCAGAAATGTGCACATAGACATTATTAGTATTATATTGACAGAGGGAGAAACACATCCACAAAGACACAATCAGTACTGTGCTGACATTGCCAGAAACGTGACCATATAGGCACAATCAGTGCCATACTGACGCAACCAAAAACAAGTCCACATAGATACAGTTATTACTCTACTGATAAAGGCAGAAACATATCCATACAGACACAATCAATACCATATGGACAATGCAAGAGACACATACCCAGATACACATTCGGTAGTCAGTAGACACAGCCAGAAAACACATCCACAGAGACCCAATCTCAGTATGTACTAACACAACCAACAACACAACAACTGACACAATCTGTATGTACTGACACACAACCAGAAACATGTCCACAGAGACACA